CAGTGGCAGTGGCAGTGGCAGTGGCAGTGGCAGTGGCAGTGGCAGTGGCAGTGGCAGTGGCAGTGGCAGTGGCAGTGGCAGTGGCAGTGGCAGTGGCAGTGGCAGTGGCAGTGGCAGTGGCAGTGGCAGTGGCAGTGGCAGTGGCAGTGGCAGTGGCAGTGGCAGTGGCAGTGGCAGTGGCAGTGGCAGTGGCAGTGGCAGTGGCAGTGGCAGTGGCAGTGGCAGTGGCAGTGGCAGTGGCAGTGGCAGTGGCAGTGGCAGTGGCAGTGGCAGTGGCAGTGGCAGTGGCAGTGGCAGTGGCAGTGGCAGTGGCAGTGGCAGTGGCAGTGGCAGTGGCAGTGGCAGTGGCAGTGGCAGTGGCAGTGGCAGTGGCAGTGGCAGTGGCGGCTGCTGCTAAAAACACAACGGCATACGTTATACCCCTGCTGCAGTGTTTTCCATTTCCCCTCCCTCCCCCCCTTCCTCTCAACCCCCTCAACCCCCAAAGACCCTCCTCGAACCTGCGGGTCGATACAGAGCGGCCAGCGGCTCCCCCTGGTGACCAGCACACCGTTGTCAACAGATAAGCTGTCGGTGGGAAGGCCCTGAGCGAGTGTGTGAGGGGCGTGTGAGGGGTGTGTGAGGCGGGAACAAGACGAACCGCAGACGATTAATGCTCGTACTCCAAGAGATTGACGGAGGGGAGCGAGGGGGGGAGCGAGGGAGTGCTGGAGGGTGCAGGAGGAGACAGGTGTGCAGGGTGGTGAGAGCGGTAGGTGTGAATTGCGTTTGAGTGGAGCAGCAACCTCCCCGCCAAGTAACATACAGATATACGTACATACATACATACATCTCCACACACGGAGAGGGAAGCAGGTACGAAGGGACAGGTGATTAAGTGTAGGAAGCCTCCTAGCCCTGCACACGCCAGTCTCTGACTCCCAAAGCCGTACTGCAAACTTCGAACCCACACCTAACGAACACCTAACTAACTCTAAACTAAACCCCAACTAACCCTCACGCGATCGCACCCCAGCCAACCTGCATGCCCCATTCCCTGATCTCCACTGCAGATACCAACGTGGCGGCCAAGCTGAAGGTTTCGGAGCCGGGGCCCACTACCACTGACCCATGGGTCGAAGATGAGGAGCAACCTCCCCCTCCCCCTCCCCCTCCCGCTACCCCTTCCGCAGTGTTGGAGGGCCCAATGGCCGACGACACGGGGGCGGGTGAGGCGGGGGGGATGCTGATGGGGATAGAGGCGGCGCGGCAGCTAGCCACCCAGGTACGAACCAGCTGCTCGCGATACGGACCTGCGGTACGACACGGTACGGTATGACGTTGCGTGGCACGGAACGAGGGTATGAGTAGTGGAAGCAAGGCAGGTGAAAAGGTACGAGTGCGAGTGAGAATGGCATATGACCCGGGGGCGCAGAACAAAATGATGTTAACATCCCTCCCCCGTATGAAGCCTCTAAATGAATCCGGTGTGTGTGTGTATGTATGTGTGTGTATGTAGAGAAGAAGCCTAGAAAGAAGAGACGTGCTGCCTGTATGTTACGTATAGCAGCGAGGGGCATTTCTCTTACATGGTCACCCATAACCCTCCCCCCACCCCGTCTCCATGCCCTCACCTTTCCCCCTCACT